TTTTTTATACGGTTTAGGGAATCATAGAAAACACGAGAAAGAAGTAATGAAAAAAGAATATAAGGGCTGCGTTTTATTCACTGAACAAAATAGTGTGATTGTAAATGCTATTGTACTTGTGATTATATGATTGACTGTTGTAAAATATACATCATGCATATATTGAGTTTGATATATTTCATTGTGGCTAGTGCAGAGAAATAACTCTCATGAAGATATAATTATCAAAACACAAATCATACAGATTTTATATTATGAAATTATTAAATTTAGTAATAACTTTCTCACCCATTCCTCAATCAACAAATTTTTCAATTTTTTTTATTTAAGGCTAAAAGATAAAGGGAAAAAAGACGAAAATACCATGGACCACATCAAGTTAACACAGGAAGTTTTATCAACCGGAGAAGTTGCAGATGCAGTGACCGACCCGAGCTGTGGTGCTGTTAGCCTCTTTGTGGGAACAACTCGCAATAATTTTCAGGTAGAGAAGATGTTATTGGTTGGAAAAAAATTGGAAAAAAATAAAAATGTACAAATAGAATTTTAATATTTTCAGGGTATAAGATTTTTAGGATTAATTAGTAATATTAAGTCCTGTTTTTTATTGTAACTTTTTTTTTGATATTGTATTTTATTTATTTATTTATTTACTTACTAATTAACTTTTTACTGACAACTCATTTTAGAAGTATTGGTTGTTATATTTCCCATGCAATGAAGCACCACCCAAAAAACATATAAAAATAACTCATACTTAAAAGTCAAATACAGTAAAGATAAAAGTAAGAAAAATAAACAAAACCTGAGTACATAATAAGTGGTAAATATGAATACATATGAAATAACAAGACATTTCCAGGGTCGCCGGGTGGTAAGGCTGGAGTACGAAGCCTATGAGGAAATGGCCGAGAAGGAAATGCGGGCCATTTGTAGGCTGGCCAGAGAGAAGTGGAATATCAAGCATATAGCTATCTATCATAGGTTTGTTTTGCATGTTTTAAAGTATATGTTTTAGATTTTTTTAAGAGCAGGTACAGATATTTTCTTTTATTTTTTGTTTTATTTTTTTATTTATCTTTTAGGATCTGTTTATACTGAAGAGAAATAATAGTCAGTGACATTAATTACTTCTGATAGTGATAACATAATAAAGATAAAATAATGATGATAATGATTATAGTAATAGGAGTAGAAGTAGATATCAGTAGTAGTAGTAGTAGTAGTAGTAGTAGTAGTAGTAGTAGTAGTAGTAGTAGTAGAGTAGCAGTAGTAGTAGTTATTATTATTATTATTGTTATTTTTATTATTATTACTTTCATTATCATCATTATCATTAGTAGTAGTAGTAGTAATAGTAATGAGGATGATGGCAATAACAGTGACTAACAATGACAATGAGAAAGACAATAATAATAATGATGTTGATAAAAAAATGATGATTAAAAAAGGAAAACATTGATAGGGTTAATGATAATAATAATATTTAATAATAAATAATAAAAATGAATATGAAAAATTATAATAACAATGATAACAACGACAGTGACCATGCCAAAAATATACTAACACTAATTATAGCAATAAGAATAAAAAAAAATAAAAAAAATTACTACATCCAAGTGAAACTGAATACTTACACAAATTTACATAGATATACTCCCACATAAAATTCACAATACTTTTCAGAATGGGTGTCGTACCTGTATTGGAATCAAGTGTCATAATAGCCGTCAGTTCAACTCACCGACGAGAATCTTTAGAAGCAACGTCATTCTTGATTGATGAACTGAAGGCTCGAGTGCCCATTTGGAAGAAGGAAATGTACGATGATGGAGGAGGGGACTGGAAGAAGAATAAAGAGTGTGCTTGGAATAAGGAGGAGGAGAAGGGAAAGAATTCGTAGGGAACTTGTTGAATGAAAGGAGATTGTCTGATTTTTTTAAGATGTATTTTTCAGAATTATGATTATTTTGCTAAAAAAAATGACAGGTTTGTCTGAATCTTTTTAATGTATTTTTTAGAATTAAGATTATTTTGAAAAAAAAGACAGTTTTGTTAAATAGAATGGCAGGTGTTTGTGTGATTGATATTAATGTTTTTTGCTCTTCTTTTCTGCAGTTAAATTGATGGAATTATGTAAAGGAATGTATTAGTATTGATTTGAATAAATGAATTGCATGAAACTATATTCAAACAAGTTTCTTTCCTCTCTTTTAGAACAAACATTCAGTAAAATTCTTAATGCCCTATTTTGTAACTGCTCCAGTATTTTGTTATATAGATCGTAATTACTTAGTTAATTGGTATAGAGCAATTAGTTTTTCATGTAATAGTACTTTGATCACGTCAGTCTGGGGATACTTTCTTACCTGTGTATTCTTTATACTTAGTTCTTGTACAAAAATGTATCAAATGCGTCTGGAATAAATACACATGATGGAATGGGTAATGAAACTCAATGATATTCCACCACTTTAATAATATGCTGATGCTATAG